TGATAAACCTTATTTAACAGTTTTTTTTTGTATTATACTCTAAAACAATTTTTGGTTGTCAGACTACAATATTGGGTCAAATATGGACAAACCAACCACTAGGTTAAAAAGTTTAACTTATTTATCTTTTTTTATAACATTTATAATTATTTAAATTAAAATGAATGGTTGTAAGCATCCAATATTGGGTCAAATATGGACAAACCAACCACTGGTTTAAAAAGTGTAACTTACACTTATTGAAAAAAATTAATCCAACAATGTATTTGTCCATATTTGACCAATTTTCTAGAGCATAATAAATTATTTACTGTATATTATTATTGCTTACTGATTTTTAGATCTGTATAATGTGCCTATTTATTACATTATTGTCATTTAAATATTTGTATCGTTGCTTTGCTTTTATTTAAAGCATGACTTAAACATGCAAATACTACTCGGGTCACCATACAACAAGGTAATCTAATGCAGTCCAATAAATTATAGCCTTGTTTTCCAAATGTTAAACTGCTGGTTGTAGAAGCAGGCAGAAAAGTGCAGCTGAAAGGGCTAAATGTTTGCACTGGATGTTGATAGATGATAACTGAAGGTAATGGCATATCGCTCTGACAGCCAGAGAACCTGAGACGCGGGCAAACATGTAGATCTTGTGTGTTTATGTTAGAGCTGTAGTCCATAAGACAACACGGCACGTCGCATGCAAACCAGCTCATCTCCAACATGTGCCGCGCTGCCTCTCATACATCAGGACGGCTCGGGTTACCATTCACAAACATCTGATACTGTACTGCAGATTTACAAATCAGGTCCTTTCAGACAGACACGTTCGTAAAAAGATCAGGAAGTCTTTTTTGTGTAGGCTTGTGTTTTACAGTCATGTAAATATGTCTGTCAATGTTTTAAAACTATTATATTTGATTTTATCAAAGTCAAACAAGTGGCAATTTCACATCCATAATGGAGTTATTTATTCATTCATGTTCTTTTCGGCTTGGTCCCTTTATTAATCTGGGGTCGCCACAGCGGAATGAACCGCCGAGTAATTATCGAAAATGAAGTTTTATTCTATACTACGTGACAATAGTCTTGTCGTTCATCCAAGTTTTAGGAACAACAAATAATAACTTGACTTCTAGTTGATCATTTGGTATCAGAAGTGGCTCATATGAAAGGCAAAGGCCTCTCCAAAATAAAATATGATCATGCCTTGATTTTGAACTATTTCATTAGGACAGTAAGGTCTGACTTGCTTTGATAAAAGTCTTGTCATTTAACATAAATAATGTCCAGTATAGAATATAAAGTCATGATGCAGTGGAAACAGAATGAATACTGTGCATGACTACCATGAGCTTGGAGGACTGCATCCACACATATCTGCAATGACTCAAATCACTTATTAATAAAGTCATCTGGAATGACAAAGAAAGCGTTCTTGCAGGACTCCCAGAGTTCATCAAGATTCTTTGGATTCTTGGTTTGTTCATATTTGGCCAGTTGTTTAGAATGTGATTATGTATGCATTTTATAAACAATACAGTGTATTTATATTATTATTTAATGATTTTTTTTAGATCTGTATAATCCACCTATTTATTATGATTTAAATATTTGTATTATTAATTTGAATTATTTATCTTTTTCTGTTTTCTTTGTTATGTATCACTTTTGTGTGTAAACACTAAACAAGTCTGGGTTGTCATAATCAATATTGGGTCAAATATGGACAAACCAACCGTTGGTTTAAAAGGGTAACTTACATTTTAATAAAAAAAAAAACATTTGGTTATGCCCATATTGACTAGTTTTCTAGAGTGTGATTATATATGTGTTTATATGAACAATACAATGTATTTAGATTAATATTTAATGATTTTAATGATATCTTTAATGCCTCCTTCTTCATCTTACCCCAGACATGCTCAATAATATTCATATCTGGTGACTGGGCTGGCCAATTCCTTCACCAAACTTGACTGATTTGTGTGAGAATCTTGGGTCTATGTGGTTTCCAGTAGATCTTCTGCAGCATTTGTGAAAATTGGGATGCAGCTCAACAGATGATTCATCTGAAAACTCTACCTTCTGCCACTTTTCCAAATGATCAACTAGAAGTCAAGTTAATATTTGTTGCTCTTACAACTGAGATTGACGACAAGACTTTTGTCAGGTAGTGAGCCAACTCTTATCCCTTTGATTAGAGTTACTTCTTTTGGGTTGTGCAGTTTAATTCACAGAATTTCTACAAAGTATGTTGTATACTGCAAACTCGCAGACTTATTTGGTCACATCCATAACGCATGCTTATTTTCCTCATTTAAATGCTAAAAAATGTTTACAGATTGATATATTTCTGATCTCATAACTTTGTGGTTAGTACTTTAGGAAAATATAAACAGATGTTTCAATATAATTTTGAGTTTTTACTGCAAATGTCACATCAGTAACGCTGGAATTGCTCAAATATTTTTTTCCTTCCTTTCAGTGCGGAATTTTGACCTTTTTGACTCCGAAATCCATTTGTTGAAACGAATGCATTATCATTGATCCAAAAATCACAATTATTAAGTAGCTTTTGCTGTTTGAAAGGAATCGATATTTAGTTCTTTCGGAAGCAATTATTATGAAACCGAAGAAGTGTTGGATCTCATTATTCCTGTAGGCGTTCCTGATCATTGCTGTTCAGAGACAACATTTCACTCACGCAAGTCTGCAGAAAACACGGGCTATCTGAACCCTCAGCACAGGGATAAAGACAAATCTAATATCAATTGGTGGAGAGCAATGAGGGAAACTCTTCTATACTCAGCTGTTTCTTTTGAGGAAAGACCACAATAATCTGCTCTGAAATTTCAGTCGATATCTCCACAGTGTCAATACTCAAATTTGTATATTGATCAATGTGAAGTGCTGATCTGGCTGGGCGGTCTGGTGGCTCAGTGGTTAGCACTGTCACCTCATAGCAAGAAGGTCATTGGTTTGAGTCTTGGGCCAGTTGGCATTGCATGTTTTCCTGGTGTTGGCGTGGGTTTCCTCTGGGGGCTCCGGTTTCCACAACAGTCCTAACACATGCGCTATAGGTGAAATAAATAATGAGAGCGTTTATGGGAGTTTCCCAGTACTGTGTTTCGGCTGGAAGGGCATCCAATGCGTAAAACATGCATAGTTGTGGCAACTGATAAATAAGTGACTAAGCTGAAGGAAAATAAATGAATGAATGAACATGTGGCTGTAGGTGGTGTATTCTGTCAAATTTTTGTACCCCCTGCTTTCTACACTCTCAGAAATAAAGATATGCGGGCTGTCACTGGGGTGTTACCTTTTCAAAAGGTACAAATTTGCACCTTAAAGGTCCATATTAATACCTAAAGGGTACATATTAGTACTTAAAAAGTACAAAAGTGTTCCTTTTAAAATTTGTAGGTACTAATATATACTTTTGAGGTACCTATATGGACCCTTTAAGGTACAAATGTGTAGCTTTTGAAAAGTTACTACCCCAGTAACAGCCCGCATATCTTTATTTCTGAGAGTCTAGTGTGGTCCTGAAAAATCTTAGTTTCAAGGGGTGTCCAGCCCTTCCCCTCAGCCATACACCTTCAAGCTAAAGAGAATTGGGACACCCCTACCTCTTCACGTTAATGCCCAAATCGAGGGTAGTGGAAGGGCTAAGGGGTAGAATTGGGATTGGGCCTTATTTTAAATATTGTAAAAAGGGTCTCGTTTAAAGATACAATGGAAGTGACCATCGATTGGAAGTGGAAGTTAATGGAGACGAGTCATTATTCAATCTAAAGCAAATTTATCAACACATTTGACTCATATTTGAGAGTCCAAAAACAAATCTCTCTAAACTAAAGAGTTTGTAACTCTTATTTGGCCACGTAAGCACTGTGAGGTTTGGCGAATGACATCCAGAGTTAAATGTAGGAGTGAAAACCCTCAATTATCCAGCGAAGCTTGACAGTGATACGGCTTTGGAAAAGAAGCCACATGCCAACAGATCAACCTATTTGATACAGCTAAGTCTGCCGAGAGAAAATATGCGAAAATACGCTCCCATAAAAAACTCCTGAGTGTGTACAGACCGAAATGAAACAGTGAGTGACAATATATTTAACAGCTGGACTTTAATAAACGTCAAATACTTTTCTCGGATCACAGCGTGTGAGTTACGACGACATGTGGGGCTTTGAAAACATGTCACCTGACACCTTGCAGGCTTATTAGTAACGATAAATCAATCAAAGCGCAATTAAACAAAGCTATAAGTTAATTGTCACCTGGGATGGTGTGACAGAGGGAATCTTGTGTGTGTGTTTATGTGTGGTGGAGGTAAAAATGACTCGGCTGGTTTGGATGTTTGGGGTTTGTGGGAACAGGAAGGGCAGGAATTCAGCGTCGCCGTGGGGAAGGAAAACTGTGCCAGCACCAGGTATGTGGTGGTGTGTCCATGGCAGCCAGAGTTTGTGTGCATGTTTTCAAGTGAGAGTGTTTATGTGTGTGCCAAAAGCATGGGTGTGTGTGTGTGTGTGTATTTCACACATTGGGAATGTTTATTGATGTTTCTGGGTTCATGCAAGCATGTGCGTGCTTTAGTGAAAGTGGATCATTTTTTATGTTCTGTTTGTTTCAGGCCCTCTGCAAAAACGCTGCATTCTGATTGGATCATTAATATTGTGATTCACGCATTATGACTGCAGCACACCCACACATACGCACACATCTGCATATTAAACAAGTCATCCCAGGACAGTGTGTGCGCTTGTGGTTTTTGATGATCTATATGTCATGGTGATTAATGCTCGCATTCAACTGTCGGCAAGTTGAAAGGGCACCACTAAACAATTATGCCAACTAAAAGTTAGATTTTTTAAACAGACGCATGGGAAAAAGATCAGAAAGAATGAAATGAAGACAATCAGAGGGATTTGGATTGGAATTTAAAAAAAGGATTGATGAACTGTATGATGATGATGGGGTTTTTTTTCACTTACTTGTCCAGCGCAAGTCGTCTTCCACTTTGCACGTCTTCAGTGTTGGAGGATCAATCTGATCTGGCCATAATCCTGCATACAGACATAGGAATATAAATTTAACCACTCATCAACTCATCATACAATATATAATACATTATATAACAATACACTACCTGACAAAAGTCTTGTTGCCTATCCAAGTTTTAGAAACAACAACTAATAACTTGACTTCTAGTTGATCATTTGGTATCAGAAGTGGCTTATATGAAAGGCAAAGCCTCTAGATTACGCTTATTTTACCAAAAAAAAAAATATGATCATGCCTTGATTTTTAATGATTTAATTAGGACAGTAAGGTCTGACTTTGCTGAGACAAAAGTCTTGTCACTTAACAGAAATAATGTCCAGTATAGAATATAAAGTCATGCTGCATTGGAAACAGAATGATTATTGTGTCTGACTCCATCATGAGCTTGGAGGACTGCATCCACACATCTCTGCAATGACTCAAATCACTTATTGATAAAGTCATCTGGGATGGCAAAGAAAGCGTTCTTGCAGGACTTTCGGAGTTCATCAAGATTCTTTTGATTCATCTTCAATGCCTCCTTCTTCATCTTACCCCAGACATGCTCAATAATGTTCATTACTGGTGACTGGGCTGGCCAACCCTGGAGCACCTTGACCTTCTTTGCTTTCAGCTTTAATGTGGAGACTGTAGTATGAGAACCACCCTCTCCTGTGGTTTGTAATATAATGGGCAGCACAAATGTCTTGATACCTCAGGCTGTTGATGTTGCCATCCACTCTGCAGGTCTCTCGCAAGTGCCCATACTGAATGTAACACCAAATCTTGATTTTTCCTTTACCAAATTTGACTGATTTCAGTGAGAATCTTGGGGCCATGTTGGTCCCAATAGGTCTTCTGCAGTATTTGTGATGATTGGAATGCAGCTCAACAGATGATTCATGGAAAAAAATCAACCTTCTGCCACTTTTCCAAATGATCAACTAGAAGTCAAGTTATTATTTGTTGCTCTTACAACTGGAATCGACGACAAGACTTTTGTCAGGTAGTGTATAATACTAATAATAATAATATTCAAAGTTATATTATATAAAATATATTAAAAAAAAAAAAAAAAAAATATATATATATATATATATATATATATATATATATATATATATATATAAAAATAATAATAAACCAAAATATATGTTAAAATTGTGTAAATTACCACTAATAATAATAATAATTGTCATTCACATACAGCAATTTATGCACAAAAATAAAGAGCAATTTCTAGCTACACATTTTTCTGGAAAAAAATATTACATTAAAAACTAAACAAATTAAATTAAATATATCAAAAATGTGAACACTTTTGAATAATGAATCAAACTAATAGATAAATCAGAGATTTCAATCTGTTCAATAAATGAAACACACAAACAAGGAAACTAAGTCTAAACCAGAGATGCCTTTGCTTGATTTCCACTTGGAAACAAAAACATCACAGATGTATAGTAAATATTAGATAAAGCGCCCAGCCCTGTGTGTGTGTGTGTGTGTGTGTGTGTGTCTACGATTGCGACAGCGTGAATCTGTCCACACACGCTCAGTGTTTGAGAGAGAGCTGCTAGTGTTTTCATCAAAGGTGCCGAGAAAACAAACACCAAATCTTATGCTGGTGTCAGATTACACACAGACACACACAAACGCACACACATAAACATCTGCCAGAATATGTGTGTGTGTAAATAACTTTGAAATCTTTGTATTTCGCTGACAAGCCAAGAAAAATATCAGCGCATAACGAGGAATGATATTTTAGGCGTCTGTTAAAGGTGTGTGCGCTTATCACATATCTTATCTTAAGAGTGTGAGGCCTCAATATGTGTGTGTGTGTGTGTGGTTGATCTCAATGCTTTAAAACACTCTGTCAGCATTAACACAAACACTTACACACACACAGACAGCAGTCACTGCATGAGTCTAAAATAAGATAATACTTATCGAGTGTGTTTGTGTGCGTATGTATGTGTGTGTGTGTGTCAGTGCACTGCTCATTTGACATGCAAATGATTGAGACCGAGATGAGATAGTTGTTACAAGCTAATCGTTGCAACACACACACATGCACTCATGAGATTTGAGACGTATGCAACTACATTTTTACATTTCCTGAGAAATATCGGAGTGGTGCTTGTCCATGCAAAACACGTCAACACTGACTGTATTTCAGAGTCTCTCTTTCAACGCAAGCCCACCTGTTTTTCTGTTTTGGGCTTTATTATTTTTAGAATCATAAATCAGATCCAACAATGCGAGCATAAGTCTATTTAAGAAGGCTTATATCATTCATGTCTGTTTGAGGTGTGTGCAGTAGTAATAGTGATGCCTGCCTCAGCAAACAGCACTAATAACGCTCTGTTCCCAGTCTCTGGTTTTCTCCGCACAATGATAAATTCTTCAGTATAAATGCTCTTATTCAGGCCACAGCTGCTGCTTCTGCTGAATATAAACATCTCAGTCAAATATTTTGATTGGCCGATTGACAACGTCAATAACAGACAGATCTCTCCTGCTATTAAAGCAGTGTGGCATTTCTTCTTTGTGTGTGTGTGTGTGTGTGTGTGCGTGTGATGTACTTATTAGATTTTTATGACAGTTAAACAAACAAGAACATAAGAGAAACATTCAATTTCCTTCAGCATAAGGCTGGTTTATACTTCTGCGTCGAGTGATCGCCATGACCCACGGCGCATGTCTTGCACGTCGTCGTGCATTTATACTTCTTGCTCTGCAACAACACTTTCAAGAGCTCACACTTAGCTGATGATTGGTAATAAGCTAGTTTGGCATGTCCCGGGAGAGAGCCCCGAGCTCATGAGATCCTTGAGCCCGGAGCTCCCTCCCGATGCAGAACGAGAGGGGAGTTTGAGCTTGGGTAGATCTCGAGAACCCCCCCATCCCCCCCTCCTGCTGCGTAGGGATTGCTAAGGTGATGTGTTGCTGACAAAATTGAATTTGGAGCTAATTTGGTTTAGTCGATTTACTTAAGTTTCATGTTTTTGGGAGTGTGGGAGGAAACCGGAGGACCCGGGTAAAACCCACGCAAGCATGGGGAAAACATGAACTCCACACGAAAATGCTGTCCGGTTGGGTGCATACCCTAGCCAGAGGCATTTTTTGCTGTGAGGTCGCAGTTCTAGCCACTGGGCCGCCGTGCTGCCCTGTAGAAAAAGGGGAGGAGAAGGGGTGGAAGGGGGGATTCTTCAAGATGAAGATGACTAAAGGTAAGATGTTTGGTTATTTATACTGGGTTAGGAATAGTCTGATTGGTGGTTCGTACATTAGCTTGACTCGGGGACAGCCGTGTCAATCATAAGCACGTGATCCTCTCGAAATTAGTTTATGAATAAACTTCACTTCGAAAGGCTAGCTGGCGATGAGGTTTTGATGTTCCTCTGTGTCGAGTTTACTCAAGGGCGTTTTGTTTTTTATGACCGCTACCTTAATGTACAAGTAGCTAAAACTCGCTCACTCAGATGGGGGAACCGGCGGACGTGCAACAACTTTAATCATAAGGTAAACACAAAACAAATGTCTCCATCTGGAGCTCCTTGACGTGACTCGACACTTCCATGCTCCATCTGGCTCATGGCTATTAGCACCGCCCATACTTGTCAGCGTTACCAAGCTGACCAATCACAGAGCTTGCACTATGCGTCGTTGCGATGTATAGTTACTTTTTTCAAGAGGTGCGCATCAGCATTGGCGTTAGCCACGGCAAGGGCTATGCAACCGTGCAGAAGCTGCGCCGGACCATACGTGTGCGGTCGATGCAGAAGTATAAATCAGCCTTTAGTCTCTATTTCAGAGGTCGCCACAGTGGAATGAACCGCCAACTATTCCAGCATATGTTTAACATAGCGGATGCACTTCCAATTGAAATGAATGAATGAATGAGGTTTAATGTGAATATAAATAAAATAAATAAAACGTAAATAAAGAATAAATCCATAGAACAAAAATATAAGTAGGTAGCATGTTCGCCTCACAGCAAGAAGGTCGCTGGTTCGAGCCTCGGCTGGTCAGTTGGCATTACTGTGTGGAGTTTGTATGTTCTCCTATTGTTGATGTAGGTTTCCTTCGGGTGCTCTGGTTTCCCCCACAAATCTAAAGGCATGTGGTATAGGAGAATTGGGTAAGTTTAATTTGTCCGTAGTGTATGTGTGTGAATGAGTGTGTTTGGATGTTTCCTAGTGATGGGTTGTGGCTGGAAGGCCATCCTCTGCGTAACATATGCTGGATAAGTTGGCGGTTCATTCCACTGTGGCGACTCCAGATTGAAAAAGGGACTAAGCCGAAAAGAAAACGAATGAATGAATGAAAAATCGAAATATATAAAAATAAAATTTAATTAAAATATTATTTTTTTAAAGTTTTCCATGAATAATGATGGACAGCAGAGAGTAGTAAAAGAGAGAGAGAGAGAGAAGCTGTGTAACACTGAGTGGAAATGCAAGCTTTCCTCAGAACCATGAGCAAAAACAAACACAAGCACCATGAAGTCTGGTTTTCCTGTCAGATCTTTCACCACACCACCTTCAAACACTCTCTGAAGTGTAGACTAAAACTCAAACATGTGTATAATGTACAGTACATTATGTTCACGACATGGTTCTAATTACTGCAATGTTATATGTACACTTATAACGTTTTGTTGTAGTTGTGCAACTATATAAAAAGAAAGATATCATATTCATAATAAAATAATAATCTCATGATTTACTTTCTAACTATAATAAATATTACTTTAAATATTGGTATAATTAATATAAAATTTTCCAACTGCTGGTTAACACAAATTTCTAATCAGCCAATCACATGGCAGCAACTCAATGCATTTAGGCATGTAGACATGGTCAAGACGATCTGCTGCAGTTTAAACCGAGCATCAGAATCAGTAAGGTGATTTAAGTGATTTTGAACGTGGCATGGTTGTGGTGACAGACGGGCTGGTCTAAGTATTTCAGAAACTGCTTATCTACTAAGATTTTCATACGAAACCATCTCTAAA